AGCGTGTCTGAAATTTTTTTTGATATAACTTTCATATGGAAGAGTTGACTTATCAATGCAGAAAAAACAAACATATAAGGTGAATAGCAATTCTAGGCAGATAGAAACATAAACTAGTAAAAATTGATGTATAAATTAAGAGGAAAATGTGTGTCATTTTAAAGGATGTAAAGTTGTGTCATTTTAAGTGAGAGAAAGAGATAGATCATAGGGGAGAGAGTGAACAAAAAAAAATAAAGGTTTGGATCCCACCTTTTAATGAGAGTGAAATGACACAAGTTGTGTCATTTAAAAGGATAAATATTTTTCCCATAAATTAAATGTTACTAGTGAAGCAAGTATGACAGTGAAGCTATGTCCAATGATTGATGAGTTGAGCAATTGAAGTGTACAAACCCAGAAAAACAAGCCATCCTATCTCTTCAGTCACTACCTGAAAAATAGTATTCTGCCATAAGAATTGCTGACATTTAATCTCAACACAAAAAGGTATTTAACATCTGCATTGCAAAATCAACAGTGACTAATATAAATATTGAACCAAGAAACAAATAAAGACCTGCAACAAAGAAGAAGAAGAAAAAAACTAGAATCAAATTTTATGTCCGCAAGTGCATACATTTACCCACACGTGGGTCCGCCAGTGCCTCCAGCAGGCAGGGTTCATCGATTCCTAATTTGTTAATTATTTTGTCATCATTTAGCAATTATAATTTAAGGGAAAAGTGTGTATCATTTTAAAGGATATAAAGTTGTGTCATTTTAAGTGAGAGAAAGAAATAGATAAAGGAGGAGAGAGAGTGGACAAAAAAATATAAAGGTGTGGGTCCCATCTCTTTGTGAGAGTGAAAGGATATAAGTTGTGTCATTTAAAATGACAAACATTTTTCCCATAATTTAAAGTATAAAATGACGCAATATATTTATTTTTCTTATATTTCAGATTGATTATGCACTTATCAGCGCTCTGTATACGACTAATTTTTTTTTCCCTTTGTTGATTGTATGGTGGCCATACAGGGGCTACCAAGCTGAATGATTATTCTGCCTACTATTATATGAGAAAAAATAGGGATAGGTTATTCTGCTTACTCTATTCTGCCTACCTTTGTCTACCTTTCTTTACACCGTTAGATTACAATCTCATCTAATGGTAGAGATTTGCGGAATCTTCCCCCTTTCTTTCTCTTTACTATCTCTCACACTCTTTCTCTCTCCTCCTCTTTCTCTTTATCGATTTGCGTAATTTACAATCTGAATTTATATTTGAATCTAAATTCAATCAATGATTAATGACATGATAATTCTGCTGGATGAATATAATTTTCAAAATTCCTTGAATATGATATAATTGAACACGGCAGAAACCACAAAAATACAAAAAAAAAAATGAAAATTACGAAGAATCCCTTCCTTTGAATTAATCCATGTATTTTACTATTGAAATTTGAAATCGAATCAACTTATCTAATTCTTTTTCTTATCTGTTTTTTCACCTTGAAGTCGGGAAATGATCTATGTTCTCTCTATGTTACACCTAACAACATGCATAATTGATCCATAATATAGGGCATCTGGGTTTGTTTCTTCCTGACCCCCTTTTTAATTTTTTATGTAAATGCTCATAACAATGGCTGGGTTAGATAAACTCAGAAAAAAACTTACACCTTTTTTTGATGTTGAAGTGCCATTAAAGAGAGAGAAAGGAGAGGAGAAAGAAAGAATGAGAGGCAATGAAAGAGGGAAAGGAATAAAAGAGTTTATTTTATGGGTAAAGGATTTCTCCAGTCAATGGAGATAAGTAATCTTTAGTGAACCCAAAACGACGTCTTTTTGAGGCGAAAGTCAAGGTGTTTTTGTAATTTTAATATATTGCAGGGTTATATTAGTCTTTATCATTATAATATTTTAATCTTATAATCTCAAAACGACGTCGGTTTGAGCTCAGTGAAGATAAAGTTATCTCCAGTGACTGGAGAAATACTTTTCCCTTATTTTATATGGTAAATCTTCACCATTGGATAAGATTGTTATCTAATAGTATTGAAATGGGTGGGCAAAGATAGGAAAAATAAAAATATACATAATAACCTATCCTGAAAAAGTATTATGGTTGGGAAAATATGTTTAGCTAGTATTCATGTTATTATACCTAGTATCTGGTACATTATTTATTAAATATAATAAAAAATAATACTTTTAAGCTACCCTCACTTTTATAATTATTTTCATTTAAATCCCATATTTTTCTATGGAACATGTACTCCTATTATACCCAAAATGAGGTTTATGATCGGCTATGAAGCACCGACACTTCAAAATCCCTAACGTGTCGTGTCCAACACTTTCCGACACTCACGACACTCCGACACTTCCCGACACTCCAATACTAGTTGCAAAGACTCAAAAAATGTTCAAAGGTTACGTTGCGTTGCATTTTGAGTTTCAACTTTTAGATTCGTTGAATTATGATTACTATTTTATTTGAGCTTAGAGTAAATACCGTTTTTGGTCCCTAACAAAAAATTCGGTCCCCACTTTAGTCCCTCACAAAAATAAATTAGTCAGTTAGTCCTTAACAAATTCAAAGTGGATCTATTTAGTTGAAATCGTGGTCCCTCACAAATTCAAAAAAGACCCATATTAGTCTCTCAAAAGGACTAAAATGGATCCACTTTGAATTTGTTATGGACTAACTGACTAATTTATATTTGTAAGGGACTAAAGTGGAGACCGTGTTTTTTGTTAGGGATCCAAAAAGGTATTTACTCTTGAGTTTAATATAAACATTTGGGAATCTTATGTTTATTTGCAAAATTGATGGGTATTATAAGTTTAACTTTATTTTTTGTTAAATTATTGAATATTAAATATAGGCTTTAATATTTTTAAAGTGAATGTAGATAAGTTATTTACATTCGCTTCCAAAACGACGTAGTTTTGGGTTGAAAAATTAAAAAATTATAATAAAAAAAGACTATTATAACCATGAAATAAATTATAATTACAAAAGTACTTTGATTTCCGCCTCAAAATGACGTAGTTTTGGGTTCAATGTAAGTAAGTTATCTACATTGACTGTATAAAAAGAAATCGTTAAATATAATATACACTACATAAATTAAAAATATTATAAAATATTAAAACGTGTCCTAACATATCAAAATTTAATATTTTTTAAAATTAACGTGTCATAGTATCGTGTCGTGTCATATTCTGTATTCCATATCGATGTGGGTGCAACAATCGGAATAAATGACGGAACAGTGACCATTGTGCCACTGTTCCCACTGTTATTTACCTAAATGCCACGCACATGAACTTTTTTCCCAAACTGCCACGCGGGCTAGTTCGCTGGGAGTAGTAGCGACCTCGTAATGCTGAGCTGTCAGCTTCCTGGTGGTGTCAGAGTTCGCGACTGACGCAGGCGACCTCTGTTGCAATTAATGCCTGACCAGCCAGGCCACGTGGCGTGCATGCAAGAGAGGTCGCGACTGACGCAGGCGACCTCTGTTGCAATTAATGCCTGACCAGCCAGGCCGCGTGGCATGCATGAGCGAGGTCGCTGCCCACGCAGGCGACCTGTGCCCAACGGCTACATTTTCACCCTATATAAACACCCCCCCCTGATCTCCCTTTCATACGTCTCCCCATTTTCTTTCTCTCTCTCTCTTAATTCTCTCTCTCTCTCTCTTAATTTCCTTGCTCTCACATTTGGTCTTAAGTCTTCATTTGAGGTTAGTGATGTATCATTTGATTAATTTTTATTTTTTGTTTATTGTTAATTAGTTGTTGTTTAATATATTATATGTAACATAAAATATTAGGTTAGATGACATTTTAATTGTTTTATTATTTTAATTAGTTTAATATTAGTAGTTTAGTAATTACATTTTAATGTTAGTAGTTAAATAACATATTGTTTAATTAATGTATGTAATAAATTGTTTTATATGCGTTATTCATTTATAGGTTTTAGAAGAAGATAATTTTGATGATTAATGTTATGACACATTAGGTTAGATGACATATTATTTATTTTATTATTTGAATTATTCTAATATTAATAGTTTAGTAATTGCATGTTAATTTAAGTAGTTAAATATTTTATATTTTAATTAATCTATTTAATTTAATTGTTTTATTATTTTAATTAGTTTAATATTAGTAGTTTAGTAATTACATTTTAATGTTAGTAGTTAAATAACATATTGTTTAATTAATGTATGTAATAAATTGTTTTATATGCGTTATTTATTTATAGGTTTTAGGGTAAGATAATTTTTATGATTAATGTTATGACACATTAGGTTAGATGACATATTATTTATTTTATTATTTGAATTATTCTAATATTAATAGTTTAGTAATTGCATGTTAATTTAAGTAGGTAAATATTTTATAGTTTAATAAATCTATTTAATAAATTATTTTATATGCATTATTTATTAATAGGATTTAGTCAGGTTATATTTTTATATGTTAATGTGTCTATTTATGTAGTTAATAAGTTGTTAATTATACAATAAATAATAATATTGAATTAAATAAAATAATTTATTTGTAGGATTGAAAAATAATTGGTGTTAACTTTGAACATTGACTTATATAATATGTATGTTAATGTTATTAGGTGTAGTACTTTTTATTAATGTATAATTTAATAATATTAATTGTTTGATATTATTTATAGTCTTGGCATCTAGGTTAGAAAAGAATTATTTTAATTTTGTTAGATTTTGTATTTATTAAAATTTAGATTATGCAATAATTAAAATAACCGAATTAAATAAAATTAGCGTGTTTTAGGGTTGACAAATAAATGTGACAAAGTCTTTTTACCACAATGTTTGTGTTTATTTAATTATTTTTTAGTAATTAGTATTTAATTTTAGTATTTGTTTATTAGTAATTAATTATGGAGTATAGAATAATTAATTGAACTTTAAAATTAATATATTTATTAATCAATGTTGTATTTATTATTTGTAAATAGATTCATGGAGCAACAGAACCCGCAACAGGACCCGCACCAGACCTTCATTGACCCTGGTCCATTGGTGCCGTCTCTCCTGACGTTGCAGGAGAAACACATTTCGACGTACGTATGGAACAGATCTGGTGACGCAAATTCAGATGATCGTGTAATGAACGTCAGACACGCTGCTTCATGGGATCATCTAAATATACCCGAGGAGATCCATCCTTACCTGCAGCAGGCAGGGTTTTATCATATTGCGCGTCGGCGCAACCATGAGGTTGGTGATACATAGAGTAGATAAATAAAAAAATTACATGTTGTATAGTTAATCAATTGTGATAAAATGTAAAATAATTTTTTATTGTCAGATTGACCACCATCTCATTTCGGCCCTTGTGGAGAGATGGCGTCCTGAGACGCGCACATTCCATATGTCCATGGGTGAGGTGATGATTACTCTGGAGGATGTCCACCATCTGCTTAGACTGCCTACAAATGGAGAGGTTGTATCTGGCCGCGTTGGAGGTCATCCCTTCTCCCAGATGGTGGGAGATTTTTTGGGCGTTCGGCCGGGTCGGTCGCGCGACTTATATAAAACCAAATTTCGCTTACATTTCTGAGGGAACGGTATCTAAATTGGCATGAATGGTCTGGCAATGAAGTTGACCTTATGCGATACACATGTGCATTGATTTTGCGCATTATAGGTGGTTGCCTCTTCGTTGAGACTGCATCTAGCTTCGTCCATGCGCGGTATCTCCTATTTTTGGATGATTTTCAGAGGACTAGGACGTATTCTTGGGGTTCCGCTGTCCTGGCTACTTTGTACAGGGAGTTGTGCAAGGTTACTGACCCAGGACGATCGGATATGGGTGGCTGTATTCTGTTACTACAATTGTGGGCATGGACACGTTTCCCTACTATCTCCCCAGGAATCCCAGCGATCACCGATCCAGATGCTATTTTTGGAGCAAGGTATGTCTGGTTTTTTTGTTTGTCTTCTTTTTCACTGTCTGTTACGTTAATTAGTAATTTTTTGCGTGTTATTGTTTTGCAGGTTTAATGAATATGTGTCCATACGACGTCGTTACTCCCACATCAGACGATATCGTCATCACATTGACGTTATGCCTACCCGCAGGATACAGTGGAGGCCATACGACGGATTCGTTGGGCATCCCCCCTCGTCCGAGGAGTCACGCAGATGGTTAGTTGTATGCCCACTTCACTACCAGATTGTTGTCTACCAGCAGCCGGATAGAGTGCTGAGGCAATTTCATTTTAGGCAGCCGATACCGAGCGATGCTTTCATGAGTTCAGAGCTGCTGACCATCACCTTGACTGGTAAGGGTGATGTTGACTGGAGGGACCGTCATGGACTGTATATAGTGCAGTGGCATTCCAGGGATGCCCTCATTGTGCAGGGTCTACAGCCCTTGCAGGGAGAAGGTCATCTGTCTCCCAACAGCACGTACATGCAGTGGTATTTTCAGCATACGCGTAGATGGATGATGCAGAGATCGGCCATTCGTTCTCATGTGGTACGTTAATTTTAGCCCTTGTCATTAATATTGTTACATTTTGTATTTTTTTTTGTAATGACATCATACATTTAACATTACATTCGCTTCACAGAGTGATCGCATGGAGACTGTTCTGCATATGGCATCAGACGAGGCCCAAAGAGCATTCACATATGGCCAGATATACGATGAGACCCTTCAGATGATGTCCGCATTCGATGAGTTTGGCAGACTGACAGAGCCTGGAGAGGCTGCATTTAACATCCTGCTTGCTTTCAAATTGCTGGTCCTTATAAAGCTCTTGACTCATTTGCCAATTTGATACTTGTGCCCCTTGCATGTCATCACACTCTTGATCGGGGTGTGCCCAGTTAATGTGCGTGTAATGTGGTATTTCTGACCAAAATGGAACATTATCCACTGCTTTTTAACACATATTTCGAATGTCGTTAAGTACATAAAAATATAATTAAACTGAAACAGTAAACTATCTTAAAACTCAAATGGTAAACTACCTAACCTGCAGCAGGTGGTGGGTCATGCGCACCAATAATACCCGGTGATGGAATCGGTTGAACCAAAGCAGTGGACGTTTCCAACTCGAAATCACCATCAACGTCTGTATCCGACGAGTCACTGTCAGGGACTAGACCTTCATCAACCTCCTCCTCGGAACTATCAGTACGCCCTGATGGATCATCTACTTCATTGGCATGAATCACATCTAAAGGTTGTGTTATTGGGGGAGATGATGGTGGGGGTGACACATTCATATCTTCCGCATCTACTTCCGGCTCTTTGTTAATGTCTATGGAGTGATTGGTAGGGATGAAACATTGAGTGCTTGCCTCTCCACCGTTGTTTAGTTCCGCATATAACTCGATGTATGAGGACTCTCCATGCTGTCGAAATGCATCAACTACTAGTGACACATCTTCATCCTCAACCACCTCCACAGCAACCCATTGCACGGGGTTACCAGAAGCACATCTAACAATCAGTCGAGACAAGGATTGACCTCGTTGTAATCTCAACTTCTTGTATATTATTTTCTTGAGCTCATTATATTTGCAACGCGGACTCATGCGGAAGATCTTCGTATCTCCTTCAAACACTTGACCATTCGGTCCAAAATATCTTCTCCCATTGTAATATAGAAGGCATATTACATCATTGTTATTCTCACTCATTATGTACTGAAAATAGAATTCACACACAGAAATGGAAAAATTTCTTTTGAAAATGAACGAGAGAATGAATGACTGATCGAGGAAGGGGGACTAAATTATATAACACTGAGTTCGCTTTATGGCCCAGCGACCTGTAGCTGTCGGCAAGTAGTTCGCTGACCAAGGCAGCGGACTTCGAGGGAACTGCCACGTGGCACGTAGGTCGCCTTGGCCCCCAGCGAACTTGGCAGGGTTCAAACACGTGCCACCTAGGTCGCTTGCGTAGGCAGCGAACTCAAAATACGTTGCAAGCTTTTTATCACCCAAGTTCGCGGCTGACACAAGCGAACTTGAGAACTAGCAGCTGACTGACACATCATCATGCCTAGTTCGCTACTACTCCCAGCGAACTAGCCCGCGTGGCAGTTTGAGAAAAAAATTCATGTGCGTGATATTTAGATAAATAACAGTGAGAACAGTGGCACAATGATCACTGTTCACCGGGCACTAAATTATTGCACCAAGGTAAAACAACAAAGAAACAAAAAACTGCAGCACTGTTTCAAACTTCCCATCAGAGGTAAGTGGTCCAGCGGAAGCCACTAGAGAAAAGTGGGTGAGGAGTCAAATCAGGCTGTTTTTAGTGGTTGTCAAATCAAAGGCCCCATCTGAATTTATAAAGTGAAGAAGGGACAACAGATTCGGATACCATTAAAATGAACCCCCTCAGCTAATGAACCCATTTCTGATTTTCTGCAACTATATCAGTTTGTGTAGTTAATATTTTGCACATAAATGGCTCACTCCGGTTCAAGACTGGTAGTGCCCATAGACTTAAAGAAGAAGCCATGGGAACAGAAATATCCCCTTCACAACCGGTGGCATCCAAATATTCCGCCAGTTGCAGAGGCTAAAGCTGGGGAACTCTTTAGAGTTGAAATGATGGACTTCACTGGAGGTTGTATCACCCACAGTTACACTGCTGATGACATTAAGCATTTTGATCTCTCAACTGTGAGTTCCTAATTCACCCTTTGTTCATGTATTTACAGTTTTCAAAATCTTTATAATTAATTTAAAATTAATAACAAGGCAAAGTTATGTTTACAAAAAAAAATTTGTTTACAAATTCTTATAAACTACATTAAATACGACCGGTTATATTTTAATCATGTAGTGTACGACTGGTCATACTTAGTGTAATTTGCAAAAAAAAATTTGTAAACGGATCGTATATCTAATAACAAAAAAAAGCATATATTGTGTTAAACGGATCATGTGTAACTATAATAACACATTAGTTTATAGATTAAATATATAATTTCAGCTACTATCATGAGTCATGACTGAAACGAACTCAACCCAGTCACACTACGATCACTCCCTGAAATATATTAGACGAAGAAAATGTTGATGAATAAATGGGAGTTAGTGGTGATGACGGAAGCTGCAAGGTGGCATCAATTAACGGTGAAAGCGTGGTCAGGAAAAAATTAAGATGTTATATTTAGCTTTACTTCATCCTTTAAACTCAACAATAAAGTTTATGTGAAAAACATATGATGAAATGTATTAATCAGCAATCTTATCCTATGTGAGTATTTGTACACCAAATATTATCTAAAGATTAAATTTTAATAACTTGTTCTAGATACCCCAAAGAAAGTTAGAATAATCAGATTCATCAAACCATGAAAATTATAAAAGTCAATACTAAAATATACCCCACACACTTTCAGTGCGACTAAGGACTGTGACATATTTAAATCATCCAATGTTAATTTTCTCATATTCCTTCTCATGATATAAAAGACAGATATAAAAAAATAAATTTACTAGACCCTACACAATAAATCTCGCATAAACAATAATAGATTTTTTTTATAAATATAATTCTCTTATATTATAAGTGAAAAATACACCGAAAACTTGACGTGGCACCGAAGAAATTTTCCCTGTAATGCCAAACTTTGGAATAACATTATCTAGACCAAGTCGAAGAACATTTCCAAATTCATCTACGAGTTAGTCCATGGCGCCACCAACTCCAAAACTGGTTGTGCCAATAGACCTTAAGAAGAAGCCCTGGGAACAAAAACTTCCACTCCATAACCGATGGCACCCTCACATACCACCGGCAGCAACTGTTAACACTGGTGAGGTCTTTAGAATAGAGATGGTAGATTGGACAGGAGGTGCTATTAAAGATGACAATTCAGCGCTAGACATAAAACTTGTTGACCTCTCAACTGTAAGTATAAACAAACTCCAATACAGTAAAATAAACCAAATTAAACAATTGTTTAATATAACATATGAACTACATCTATTTTCTTTTTTTTGGTCAAGGAATTACTATATGATATTTTATGTAATTGATATTTGGATGATGGGTTAAACGGTCCAGGTCCATTATCTTAGTGGGCCAATCAGAATTCTTGATAATGATGGCATCCCTGCTAAGCCTGGAGATCTGCTTGCTGTTGAAATATGCAACTTGGGTCCTCTCCCTGGAGATGAATGGGGTTTTACTGCAACATTTGACAGAGAAAATGGAGGTGGTTTCTTGACAGACCATTTTCCTTATGCCACAAAAGCTATATGGTACTTTGAGGGGATATATGCTCATTCGCCTCAGATACCAGGTGAATGTACTAATTAATGTATTAACTTTTTTAATGTGTTATGATAGAACCTTAAAATGAATGTAAGGTACTTTGTACTTGTTTTGGTACTCACATAATAAATCATCTATGCTGGACAGGTGTGCGATTTCCGGGTATAACACATCCCGGGATAATTGGAACTGCACCATCAATGGAGCTATTGAACATATGGAATGAAAGAGAGAGAGATGTTGAAGCAAATGGTATTCAGACTTTAAAACTATGTGAGGTTTTGCATTCACGACCCTTGGCAAACTTGCCATCAACAAAAAGTTGTCTCCTTGGAAAGGTAAATGATGCACGACAAGAAAATCTGTGAACTTAATCCGATGATAAATTATATCCCTGGTGCTTTACCTCATTGAATCCAAAATCCGGAAGTATTTTAAGGATTTGACCAATGCTTTTGTTGGCTTGCTAAGAAATCAAATAAGATTTCCTTTCTGTTCTTTTGAAAACTTACTTGACATGACATTCTTGTAGATTCAAAAAGGGACTACTGAATGGGAGAATATTGCAAGGGAAGCTGCAAGAACAATACCAGGAAGAGAAAATGGTGGAAATTGTGACATTAAAAATCTAAGCAGAGGTTCAAAGGTATACCTTCCAGTTTTTGTAGAAGGGGCAAATCTCAGCACTGGTGACATGCACTTTTCACAGGGTGATGGCGAGGTCTCATTATGTGGTGCCATAGAAATGAGTGGTTTCTTAGAATTAAAGTTAGTGTATAACTTACAATTACTAAAATATCAACCAACTTGTTCCGTGCATTCACTTAAAAATCTCCTGAGCAAAAAAATAAGCACACTACAGCACTTAAAGCTGATACCCTTTTTTATATCATCAGGGTTGAAATTATAAGGGGTGGAATGAAAGAGTACCTTACACCAATGGGTCCCACTCCCCTTCATGTTAATCCAATATTTGAGATAGGCCCTGTTGAGCCAAGATTCTCAGAGTGGTTGGTTTTCGAGGGCATCAGTGTTGATGAAAGTGGGAGGCAACACTACCTAGATGCAAGTGTTGCTTACAAGCGAGCGGTACTCAATGCCATTGATTACATATCCAAGTTTGGGTACTCCAAAGAACAGGTTTAACTAAAACCACTTAGCATAAACCCTGCATACTTAGTTCCCCTTTCCCCATAAGAAAAAAGGGGTAAACTATGTTACATCATTTCTATATTATCCATAGACACCATAATGCAATCTATGGCTAATTGCTAAATGTTGAACATTAGGTGTATCTTCTGCTGTCTTGCATTCCTTGTGAGGGAAGAATATCTGGAATAGTGGATGCCCCCAATGCTGTTGCAACCCTGGCCATCCCAACAGCTATATTTGACCAGGTAAATTGACCTCTGTGAACTATCTATTATATACAATGGCTATTTATTAGAATACTCCCAATCATACGACTATTAATTTACCAAAGTCTGAAAATTAGCAACCTGAATAAACATCCATCCAACGAAAATATTTTCGTTACATCCTACTTCGTTCGGTACATCCTCTATTAAACATGAAAAAAATAACATATTTATATTATCTTTACCTTTATAGTTATTTTCTTCTATGTCCCTCTTTTTTCCATTTTAGTCATGTGATATCTACTCCCGTTACACAAAAGATATACATACTCTCATCCAACCTCGGCATTTTGTACGATTGAAATCATTGACTTATTTTCTCACCCCACGGCTATGATATTAAGTTTATAATTGAGTGTTATAGAGTTCAATTTTGATTGCTTTATTTTTGTTCTGGTCTGTTAACCCAATTAGGTCCATCAAGTTATCCTGAGTTCATTAACCCGGTTAGGCCCATAACTCATAACCCAAGCGTTGGCCCAAGACCTTCTTACCCGGAATAACACATATGACTAACATCTTAGGCCATGAGTCCAGATTACGGGACTATAAACCCATGATCCTTTCCCATGCTGCAATGCTAAACCTATGATCATCAACTATCACTACTAGAACTGCTCCCTATTCATTAACGATAACCACTTATGAGGACCATTATAAATACGAGGATAGTACCAATCTAAAGGGACTCAGTTGGAGAATACTCACTTATTCATACCAAACGTATACACTTAACCGATAATCTTAATTTATATTTGGTGTTCACACTGAATATTTTTATGATAAAAATAAAGTTGAATTTACGAAATAACTAAAAAATAAATGTGTGTATTATTCATGCTTTAAAGCTGAAGTTTTTTTTTATGTGAGTAGCCATGTTAAAAAATATAAAAAAATAGAGTTGATTAGATGTTATCACAAGATCTCCTCACTCTTTTTTTGTTTTTTTCACAACAATAAAAACTCAATCATCAAGAGGAACACTACAATCATCATTAGCTGAAAACCAAATTCATATACATGATTCACAGGGTTAAGAACTACAATTTTAAAGGTTATTCATGTTATCGTAGCCTTACAACCATGGGGTTTCATTTTTTTTGTAGGATATCCGTCCTAAAAATAACAAGGTTCCAGTTGGACCCCGCCTTGTTAAGAAACCAGATGTCTTCAAATGCACTTACGATGGGAACTTGCCCATTACAAGGAATCCTAGTGCCACATCATGAATCGTATTAGCTAAAAATCACGTGCTTTTGTACCATCTCCCAGGAGTCCTAGGCTTCATGCCCTGAAAATAAAGTTTGAAATACATTGACATCTGTACCATATGTAACCGGTGGCTGGACAATGCTGGAAAAATGTAATAAAAGTGCGTGTTTAGATTAATTTATTTTGAGTTTAAAACAATTTATAGCCAAAATTTTATTATGAAAATTAAACGAAGAGTATTTTTTTTTTTTTTGGTAAATAAAAAGTATCTTTTTAAAGTAATCAAAACCAAACTTTACCATATATTTTCAATTATTTAAATATAATTGATAACGAATTTACTATTAGAGAGAGACAAGAGCAAAACCCGTAATTTAACTTCTTATCTGTGTTGATCTAAATTTCTGTAAAACAGAGGATTTCAAAGTATGGTATCTTGTGCTAACAAACACAGAGGTAGAATATGATATTTAAAGATGGTTGATTTGGTTTCTTTTTGTATTCTATATCTACTCTTTCTTGAATTGCAAGAAGATTACTTTTTAAGACTGGAAATTAACTAACTAAATTTTTTCTCAGAATAGATTCAATAAAGAAATTTGTAATTTCTATTAAGCAAATAACAGGTAATAAAATCCTGGGTTTCTAAAGTCAAGGACTTCCTTATTTGTAAGTTGCATTCTGTTGGGCTCACGGCAAGTGCATCGATCGTGCAAGTAATATAATGTATTGAGTAAGATATCATCTCCACGAGGATTATGATTCAATCACTAGTTCACTACTTCTACTTAAGTTGGACAATCGAAATTGGATTTGTATCAAGATTTAATTTGAAATTTAAAATATTAAAACTAATTAAAAGCAAGAATAAAAACAAGAATTTAAAGATTTGAATTACTTGACAGAAAATAAACGTAGCTAGGGCTCCAATTTCCCTCAACCTCTCTATTATGTTTGAACTCTATCTTTACATTAATTGTCCTTAATATCAATTCAATCGATTCTTTTAATTTAATTAGGACTCAATCCCATGACACCCTAAATTTTTATAATCTTGCAAAAACCCTAGTTCTCCGGTTATTCCCCAAGAAAGTAAGCATTACATTCAAGAATCTCAAGATTGCGCAAAACCCTATGTCTATCCTTAGAATCATAAGGATTACGATGAAATTGTCATATAAGGATCATGCACCATCATTTCTATTGTCATACATTTACCTAAGATCAATCTACAAGATTCAAGCTCATAGAAAGCATTAAGAAAAGACAATTTCATTCATGATAAAAAGGAAAATTAACGTAAAGAATTATTCAAAGCATAATAGATAAATTGAGTTTCATCTAACCCTAACTACTATAAAAACTTAGCTAGACATGGTGAAATCAAGAATGAAAGAAAATAGAAAAGCTTCCCCAAACTCCGTAGTTGAATGGTGAATCTTCAATATTTCCAAAGCAGACTCGATTCTGATCCGTCTTCGACCTTCAAGAACATGAACTAGGTGTTTCTTTTGCTTTCCCTCTGCCTCCAATCGTCAAGAATTATCAAGAAATGTCAAAAGGTGATTAATTCTGCCCCAAATTATGTTTTTATGGGCAAGGAACCCATGCCTTAGGTGGATACTTTGAATAGGCCTAAGTTGGGTCGTTTTGGGCGCTTAAACGCGATGTTGGACGCTTAAGCCTCCTTAAGATAGCATGCAGATTTACGCAGGGTGTTTAAGCGCGGTGATGGGCGCTTAAACGTCGTCTTCGAAGATGAACTTTTATACTTGTTCTGTGCTTATGCCCTGAGTTGGGGGCTTAAGCGCTCTTAGGCAGTGGCAATTTGTGATTTTAGGGGCTTGAGCTCTGAAATGGAAGTTTAAGCCTCCTCTTCAAGAACTTGATTTTCTTTATTTCCTTCAATTGATATCTTCATATCTTCAGGTTTTGGTCTCTATTGCTTCCATTTAGCATCAATTTCCTTCAAAATAAGCAAATATTAATTATTTAACTCATAATTCACAAAGTTCATGTTTTTACATCCATAAACCCTAGTGTTCACTTATTTAACTTGATAATGCATATAAAATTAGTCTATAAAACAAGATAAACTACAGGTTTATCACATTCCTGCATTTTTACATGTTATAGCACTTTTGTTACAAAAATTCAATGTATGAAGCACTATTTGGAATTTCCCAATTCCATTTGTCCAAACTCAATTAAATCATTTCCCAAGGTATTTAAATCATATCCTTAGAGTTTAAAGATGAATTCCCACTTCAGGTTATCCCTAACGTTTGAAGGGTTCAATTAACAAGACATCATAATCCTCTAATTTCCCAATTACAAAATCATGAAAAAGAATGTCCAAGCTTCATTTCCATGGTTTCTTGAAGCTAAAAATCTTGTTAATCGAATTGTAAGAATTATGCACGTAGTATTCCAAAATAGAAGGTTCTCCAATCTTTCAGATTCCCAGCAAGAAACTTAGAAATCCATAGCTATAGTAAAACGAAAATAGAATATGAAATGGAAATTAAAATGCATTGAACAATTTCTGAGTAAGAGTTTTAGAATACAGACCATAACTGTCGAAATGAAAAGATACATAAAATGAAATACGCTTGCAAAAGAGGACAGGATACTCAAAAATTCACTTGAGTCACTGGTCTTCTTGAATGCTTCCAAGAAGTTCTCCTATTCTTGCTATTCCATGAAAAACTCAAACTGAAAGATTGAAACTTGTAAATTTTCTATCTGTTTCAAAACTCTAGATCCAAGATTCACTTTTTAACACTTCCTAAAAAAACTAAAAAATAATCCTAAGAGTAATTGCCATCCATCAGATTTTCCTTCATCTACGGTTCAGCTTTATTTCCATCCACTTTCGAAAAGTAATCCACGTGGCTTTCTCTCACTGCAGTAAAATAGTAAAAGAGGTTAGTAAATCATCAAATTATCTCTTTCTTTTTCTTTTACCTTACTGGGAAGCATTGGTACTCATTTGGGCTATTACCCTGCACTTATAACCAGTCTTCAGACCAAATATTGTAAAAATAAAGCCATTAAAATAACCATTATTTAGCTAACAAAATAACCCAAAGTTAACCTCTGCTTTTCCTCAAGCAGACAAGAAAATATTAATTCAGTGAACATATTGTTATCTATGTTCTTTCTTTCAACAATCAGCTCATTAGTCAAGCAATGTAATATATTTACAGTTCAATTCTCCATTTATCACATTACATGTCAACCAATAACATCAATCAACTACATTCTCGATATCAATACCAACCAACAGTCCAGTCCAAACTAAGTTTTCAATTAAACAAATAGTACACTATGTTACAATGCATATCAAGCAATCACTATACATTCTCATATCAGTTCAATGTCATGCACTAAATTCCTCACAAGGCATTTTTTAGTCATCTCTTTTATTTTTTACCATGGACATTCACTCTTCATCAACTCTACATCGTTGCTTCCTATCCAACAATATTGCCTACACACTTGATGCCTAGTGTTCCATTTCCATCAAAAGGTCTTCTTGAATGCTTCCAAGAAGCTCTCGTATTTTTGCTCTTCAATGAAAAAATCAAAACGAGAAACTTGTAAATTTTCTATCTGATTCTAAACTCCAGATCCAAGATTCACTTTTTAACACTTCCTAAAAAAAATTAAAAACTAATCCTAAGAGTAATTGCCATCCATCAGATATTCCTTTATCTACGGTTCAACATTATTTCCATCCACTTTCAAAATGTAATCCAAGTGGCTCTGTCTCTCACTGTAGTAAAATAGTAAAATAGGTTAGTAAATTATCAAATTATCTTTTTCTTTTTCTTTTACCTTATTGGGGCAGCATTGGTACTTATTTGGCCTATTACCCTGCACTTATAACCAGTATTCTGGCCAAAATATTGTAAAAATAAAGCCATTAAAATAAGTATTATTCATAGCTAACAATCTGCCACTCAATAATTTCAACCAGTCTTTTTTTTAATAACCAGTCATCATTTTAACTAAATGTAATTCTATGAGAATGTGTTTATTTTTTTTTATCCAAGTCAGTTTAATCCGATCCAACACCATTTTTTTCATACACAGAATTTGAATTTGAATTTAAGACTTATATTCAAGGAGAACAAAATCTTTACTCCTAGAATCACTAGTCGTAAGTGAAAATATATTGTAACTTTTGTACATTATTATATGTTAAAACTGATATTTAAATTCAAATGTTTGTTCCAATGTTTGTTTTCAAATATGAAATATTCCTTGTAAAGAGGCATAGTAGCTGAGTTAAGTCTGGAAAGTTGTTGCCTTTTTTTAAGAGTTTGTATATTTAATACCCCATTATGGGAAGAATTAAATGAATGAAGCACACAATTGTTTTACAGTGTAGTTTTTTGACATGGCACCAGAGCAAAGTTCTGAACCAAGGAAGGAAATTTGATACTAATAAAAAGTTACCCACCCATTCTCGCCCCACTTTCCTAACTTTCTACCCATACTCGTATCTGTACCCAACTTTCCTTGACCTCTGAACCCTCATCTGCGACTCTCCCTTGTTCTTATGGTTGCGTCTCTCTCTGATTCTAATACCACAAATCCTTCCACCAATCTTTTTTTCTCCACTCCAACACTAACCCCGAACATTATCGTCCATCGAGACCACTCCTTTCTCCCTCTTACTGTTATTCTAGATGACTCGAATTATGCCCTTTGGTCTCAATTTATGGACATATGAATTGAGGCAAAAAAACAAATCTGGTTTTCTTGATGGTATTGCACGAAAACCAAATATTGTTGATCCTGCCTTAGATACCTGGATTACTGACAACAAGTGTGTGAAAAGTTGGTTGATTAATTCAATGAGCCTACCCTCATGCATCGCTTCATCCGATTGGAGACCACTCATGAAATTTGGTAGGCCGCTTCCAAAACCTTTTATGATGGTTCTGATGAATCCTGTTTGTTTGAACTCAATCAGCACTCCTTCTCTACAAAGCAACTTGGTCGACCCCTAACGACGTATTACAATGAACTCTTAGCAATTTTTCAGAAAATTGATCACTGCATGGAAAATTCCTATTCTTCGGTTGATGGTATGGTTCATGGCCACTCAGCTCTCTTTAGCCTATGAGTTCACATTTTTTTGGCTGGTCTCAACTCGAACTTTGATCAGGTTCATGGGGAAATTCTTCAGA